CTCTCTCTCTCTCTCTCTCTCTCTCTCTCTCTCTCTCTCTACTTCTGACTTATTTTGCAATAAAAATTTCCAAATAGAAAATTTGGAAACTGTTACTACAAAGACGACTCAAATGCATGGCATCGCATTTTACTGTAAATCGCAGAAATAACGCAAAAATCGCAACCGCGACTGAATCGATTTGTAATAAAAGGATAGGTGTTGGATTGTTACGTGAATTTTTCTGATTCAATTATATTATGTATAATTGTTAGTCTTTTTTTAAAGAAAATAATATATATTCTTTCAGATTTTTTTTCACAATACATAAAATATTCGTTAAAGCAATTCATACATGAGAAAAAGGTTTACATATACAGAAATATCTTTTATCATCATTTTTTTATTATTTTCATGTTTAAAATAGCGAAGGGCCGTATACAGAGTGTCAATTTTCTCGCTATCATCATTAGAAGGCAATGGGTCATATATGCTTTTCACTTTAGATTTTAGCATAGCAAAGGACCACTCAAAAATCTGCATTTGTATTTAAAACTCTAATGGCACTGTAATTTAACGATACATACTTCCTTCCTCATGCTTTAGACGTTAACCACGCGACGTTATTCGATTATTCGCAAGCCGGCATAATACTCACGGCTTTTGGTGCATCGGATGCCGTTAAACAAACTCCACGACGGTAGTGTTGTTCTTCGATGTGGAGATAGGTTCACCACTCTGGATCACCCCTCACCTGGAACACTTTCTTCTGTCGCGATCCCTTTGCCGTTGCGCGACCGTGCGTGCGCGGTACGAAGGGAGCTCTAAATCGTCACGGGCCGGCGGTCGCCCTTTACGTGATTCTGTGGTTCCTCAGGGAGACCGGCATCCCGCCGGTCCCGGTTGCATCCAGGGCCCAATACTCCTGGTCTCGCAGAAGCGAGAGACGCAGGCCGCCGTTTATTCTCATTTATCTAGCCCGATCTGATCGCGTTGAGGGTTGCACGGAGGGCGAGGGCGAGAAATTACGTCGGTAAGGCCGATCGCTGCCCCGGCTCTCGCTGCCTAGGCGGTCCCTACGCGGCCACCTACGCGGCGACGACGCTTATCGATTATCAGGACATCGGAAAAAGGGAATTGCAATCGATTCCTACCGATCGGCCAAAGTTTGTCTATTCAAATCGCCGTCGCGCTCGTTGTTTGTCAACAATGTCAATTCTCGCCGTCGCCGCCGAATCGACGATCGAAATCTCCTCCGAGGGATGTCTTTCCTCACTCTTCCTCTTCTACTTTCCCCTACTTCCTT